CTTTTACACATGAGTAACCACCTGTTTCAAAGTCAAGGAAGGAGCCCATTTCCTCTGATGTCAAAACTGACGTCTCTGCTGCGGGTCCCAGGCTGGCGTGTGAAGTTCACACAAGCACTTCACATCCCAGGTAGTGTGCCATCTTTTACTATCTTCAGTTATAGTCTACGAGATAGTTTAACAACCAACTTGGGGGAGGGTTGAGGAGAGCTTGAGGGAATGGGATAGTCGAGATGGAGGAAGGACAGAGATGAGAGCAAGGAAAGAGATATCTTGATTGAGGGAGCCATTATGGGGTTAGCAAGAAACCTGGCCCTAGAAATATTCCCAGGAATCCACAAGGATGACCCCAGCTAAGACCCTAAGCAATAGAGGAGAGGGTGCCCGAACCTGCCTTGCCTTGTAGGCAGACTGATGATTATCTTAAATATCACCATAGAACCTTCACCCAACAACAGATGGAAACAAAAGCAGAGAACCACATCGGAGCAATAGATTGAGCTCCCAAGGTCCAGTTGAAGAGTGGAAGGATTGAGAATATGAGCAAGGAAGTCGAGACCATGAGGGGTTCACCCACTGAGACAATGTGCCTGAGCTAATGGGAGCTCACCAACTCCAACTGGACTGGGAGTGAACGAGCATGGGATCAAACTAGTCACTCTGAATGTGGTTGACAGTTGGGGCAGACTGAGGGGCCAATGACAGTGACACTGGGATTTGTCTCTACTGCATATAATGGCTTTCAGGAATTCTATTCTCTTTGGATGTATACCTTGCTCAACCTAGATGTAGTAGGGAGGGCCTTGGACTTGCCACAGGGCAGGGTGCCTTGTCCTCTCTTAGAACTGGAGGGGGCAGGGAGTGGGAGGAGGGAAAAGAGTGGGAATTTGGATTGGAATTTTTTAAAGCAATAAAATAATAATAATAATAGCAATAATAAAAACAACTAACTTGGTTGTTCCTGCTTTGTTTTTCTTTCTGCTAGCTGTCAGTACCGCTGTGCCCTCTGCCTCCCTCCCGGCTTGTTGGCGAACCCCATGAGAGTCACCTGACTCCTGTGCCTCAACATCAGAATAAAACAGAGCACGATGACATAGGGATGAATTCAGAGTGTTCAGGGATCTGGAAACATAAGTATTCCTGCCAGTCAGGGAACTATAGTGTTAACCAGGAATTCAGCCCAAGGGAAACTCCCTTCTTACTGTTTCGGGCTCAAACTTTGTCCTCTGATTAGTCCTCTGTGCTTCCCTGTTTGCTTTGGCATTTTATATGCCCATTCCTATCACACATTTCATTAAAGCATAAACCACGAGACGCCTTAGCTGGAAAAGGACCAATATTGTTCCTAGAGAATACGGTGTCCCGAATTCTCACACAGCACACACCCATGCCCCCTGGCCCTGATTCAACCTCTAGATCCTTAGTCCTCCTCTAATTCATTTTTTTTTTTTTTTGGTTTTACTATAATAGAGAAGATAATCCCCGCAGAGTAACAAATTTTAAAGCATTCTTCCCAGTACAACAGCAAGTACTGAGAAGAGGTCAAAGGTACGGACTGAAAACCATTCAAACCCACTAGTGTGGTTTTCCCCGTGCACCGAATACCTGCTCATCTTAGTTATCCAGATTATTATCCGTTCAGCAAACAATGAGAACCCATTATTTGTTGCTCACCGAGCTAGCCATTTGGTATGGTGAGGAGCATGTTCACACGCCCTTCCCTTCCTGAGCAGGAAGAAAGGTTGAGCAGAGATGTTTGCAGGCCATGAGAGAAGTGGGGATTTATATTAAAAGTGATTCAGAGGGGCATACATTTTTAGAAATATTATGCCTTTTAAAAAAGTGTTTGCGTGTGTGTGTTCATGTTTCTGTTTACAGACATGAATGGAGCCAGAAGACAACCTTGGGTGTTAGTCCTACCCTCCACATGGCTGAGACAGGTATATTGTTCATTCCTGTGCACACTGGGCTAGCTGGCCCTCGAGTCTCTGAGGGTTTTCCTGGCTCCCCCTCCATCTCGCAGTGGAAGTGCTCTGAATACAGATGTGTACTGTCAAATTCTGCCTGGATCTGGGTTCTGAGATCCAAACTCAAGTCCTCACCCTTGTGTGGAAAGCATCTTAGCTTACTAGACACCTCCCATGCCCTAGAGAAATCATTCCTAAGAACTTACTTAAGAAAACATTGGGATGCGTGGACACAGATTACAAGAGTGACCACCACCGCACTGCTATGGTCATAATAAGCATTACTGGAGATGGGAGTATAGCTCAGTAACGGAGTGCTTGACTAGCATGGACAAGGCTGCCAGCTGGCTTCCCAGCAACAAGATTGTTTTAGTAATAATACACACCAGAAAAAGAACACATCCAAGTGATCTGAATATTCAGCAGTTAAAATAATCAAGAAAATCACACAATGAAAAGTTTTTGTGTCCCAATAAACCTCTCCAAATCAGACCAAATTAAACCAAATTGGAAAAAGCCCAGGTTTAATGGATACTAATGCTCCCAGGTGTCCTTCCAAGCCCTCAGAGAGGAGATGGGAAAGGAAGAACGGAAAACCACGTGTTTGTACTCTGGGGGGCAGTTTAAAAACTCTGTAGGAGTGTAGGTCTTGAACATCTCTGAGGAGGGGGTCACAGATTGGCGGGCTTTCTCTGAGGTGGAGTTTGGACTAAGGCAACTCCCAGGGGAGGGGACCTGGGATGGAACTTTTCACCCAAACATTCCAGACTCTTTGGATATGGGGATGCCAGGGGCTGGGGTGACACTTCCAAGTAAACACGCAGGAATACTCATTTCAGTCAGTTGTGCTCAGACCCAAATCCTCGCACAGAAACTATGTTATGGCTCAGAGGTTAGGAGCACTGACTCTTCCAGAGGTCCTGAGTTCAATTCCCAACAACTACATGGTGGCTCACAACCATCTGTAATGAGATCTGGTACCCTCTTCGGGCCTGCAAACATACAGACAGACAGAACATTGTATGCATATTAAATAAATACATCTTAAAAAAAATAAAGTATGTTAATTAGTTATGCTTCGTGCTACGAAACATCAAACATTACTTCTCCTCTTCAGCTGCACCCCCTGGCCTGGTACCCATCCTTCTCCATCTGACTCCAACCCTCCTCAGACTCTGGAGACCACCTGTTACTGTGGATTTCCACACCCAGCTTCCATATACAAGAACTCCCGGCCTTTGCCTTTCTGTTCCTGACTTCCTTCCTAAAGCATAATCCCCCTCCTGGCCCATCCGGGTCACCTCACTTCTCTTTGAACTATCTGATTTTTCCTAACTAAGAAATGAATCTGTAGAAGTTTACAGCTGGAGCTTCCTAGCCTAAGGGATGTTTCACAGTAGAAAGCACAAAGACACACATTATTTTATGTCCTCAATGTCCTCCCTCAAATACCTTCTCACTCTCTGCCCTCCAGCTTCGTCCTGTGCCCTAATACCACTCCATTCCTGATCTTCTCATCCATGGCTTCACTTAAATAATAAAAAAACTCTGAAACCACTTTCTGTGGTCTGAAGCTGAGCATTCTTCCAGGGACTGTGATTAAAACCCTAGTTCCCAGGGGGTTGCTGTTGGGAGGTGATGGAGTCTTTGAGTGGTACCCAAAGGTACACCTTCACAAAGAATTGTGGGATGCCAACCTCTTCCCATCTGGCGTCCTTGATGTTAGAAGCCTCTTAGACCCACCTGGACACAGGCATCTCCATTGTGTTTTGGCTCAACTGAGCTCCGAGCTGATGACACTCTGATTCTAGGACCTCCCAGGCTGTGAGCTAAATGAGTAAGCCTTTTATCTTTATAAGTCAGCCATGTTGGGAATCCACTGTCATAACGAGCCCTACTAATATCCACCACCATTTTAGGGTCTTTCCGAGCTAACACTGGCCCACGTGTAGGGATGTCCAACTTTTTGGCATTTTGCAACTTGATGCTGTCATCTACAAATCCATCGGGCCACATTCATAGCTATCCTGGGCCACATGTGGCCTCCTGGACACAGGCTGGATTTACTATGTAAGAACTCCCCTCAACACATCACATAGTCCATAACCAGAGCCTACACCATAGTTTCTCTTGACAAAGCCTCATGATTCACTTTTTCCTTCACCTTAACCAAAACCAGTTTACCCCAGTATTTCTCTCACCTGGGTCTTGGTTCAGAAGGATGTGGCACTGGACCCTGCAAGGACTACAGGTTCCTGTTAGTGGACATCAGGTTTACTGTGTAGCGCAATGATGAAGTGAACCCTGCCCCAAGGTTGTGATTCTCATCATAGTCATTCCGCGAGTGGGTTTTAATCTTCTCGGTTCTTCATGCTGTGAAACATGGCTCCTAGTGACTCTGCCCAACCATTGTTTCATTCTAGGGCCCCAAGGAAGTGATGTGAGGGAGAGAGAAGATGCTAATAATAACCTATCCCCAGAAACTCCCTATCTCAAACCCCAAAAAATAGAAAAGTAAGTAACTTTTGTTTTGTTTTGCTTGAAAAAGTGTTTCTCTGTAGCTTTGGAGTCTGTCCTGGAACTCACTCTGTAGACTAGGCTGGCCTCGAACTCACAAAGACCCGCTTATCGCTTATCTCTCTCTCCTGAGTGATCACCATCCGGCCAAAAATAACTTTCTTTTAAGCAATGATTCCCAAAGGAAGCGCCCATCAGATTCATCCATGAAGCTTCTACGAAATTCAAATGACGCTCTTCCCCTAGAACTCCAGTGTGTAGATGGAAGCTGGCAGATATGTTCTTGTAGACAACTATATGTTCAATGGCATCTGTGTGATTCTGTTAGGACATCAGCTGCCACACAGCCACAGGTGCTCTCTAGTCCCAGGCAATGTGAACAAACATCAGGCAGGGGATTAACAGCCTGCTGGAATCTGGCATTAAAGAAACTGAGAACCTCCCGGGGCGGGGCTACCTGGCCTACTTCAACTGGGCGCCCAAGGACACCTTTACATTCACTTCCTTATCCCACAGCCTCGCTCCAGTCACTGCCAGACTCAGTGGCTCAGGCGGGAATGCAGCAGGCAAGGCTTACCCTCATGGCTGCAGCAGTGTGTGTGGCTCTTCAGACCTCAGAAGGTGAGTTGGAGGCACCAGTGGCCTGGGGCTCCAGGGCGAGTCGGGGGGATGCCTTCTAAGTTGGTGCTGTAGGAGTCTCTGTCTTCGGATGAGACTTTTCTGTTGCTCTTTGATCATCTGGAGAACGGCACAGGTTTAAGATCAGGGATTTGGGGAGGAACTCGTTTCCCCGGGAATATGAATCCACTGTCGGAGATGAAGCCTTCCGTGCAGGTGCGACTTTCTGGTGGCAGAACACTCGCTTCTCCCAGCTAGAAGCTGGGCAGAGCCACTGTTCTCCATCCAATGCCTCAGACAGCTGGATTCTGCGTGTATGATTGTGTGTAGACATGTATCTGCGTGCCTATGTGTGTACATTTGTGTCTCTGTGTTTGTGTGTAGACCTGTATCTGCGTGCATATGTGTGTACATTTGTGTCTCTGTGTTTGTGTGTAGACATGTATCTGCGTGCCTATGTGTGTACATTTGTGTCTGTGTTTGTGTATGCATTTTTTTCCCTAGAGGAAAAAAAACAGTGTTGGCAGGTAAGCTCCGGGTTTCTTGAGCTTGTGGGTACCGAACTTCAATGTAGCCCTTAGAAAGGGGAGCATGATGGAGAAGACTGAGCTGTGCAAAGTGTTCTGAAGAGAACTTAACGTCTGCGTTGGTGGTGAACTATGCGGGTCGCAACTGCATTTGGACTGAAGGCACCCACTCCAGCAGCAGCCACTACCACATTTAAGAACATCTCCTCTACCGCTACTCTACAGCGTCTCACTTGGCAGCCCTGGCTGGCCTAGAACCCACGACACCTCGCAGACTAGCCTCAGAGGCACAGCAGCCCTTCTGCTTCAGCCTTCCAAATGCTGGGATTCCGGGCAGGAGCCACCACATTGTGCTATCACTTAACACCTGGAATATGTAAGCAAATGAACCACGACACTAATATTGGCCATAGACAGTTCAAGTGGAATATCTCCTGGGAGATAGATTATAAATAGAGCATTAATTCCCCCACCCCCAAAGAAAAAGAAGAAAAAAGCCCTTGATGCCTAGAAAGTTACAGACGATGGGGCCCTTCCAATTATCTTTTCTTAAGCTACATCCTAAACAGAGTTTGCAGAGCAGAGGTGGAGTATAAACTTTGTCTAGTCAGCTTTTTAAGTGCTCATGCCAACATTTCAAAGCAAATTTCACAATCACTCCTTTGTTTACACACACACACACACACACAGGATTTAGAGCTTCTCTTAGAAGTGAGAGTTGGAGGCTGGGGGTGTAGCTCAGAGAGTCCTCCAAGCAAGCACATGGCCTCGGGTTCAAGGCCCTGAACAGAAAAAAAAAAAAAAAAAAAAAAACCAACTCAGACTTGCCAACGGTGGTTCTTTGGCCTGGGCTGCAGCTGGTGGCAGCTGTCCCTCTCCTGGGGTGATCTGCGTCCTACTAACAGTGTCCTTCCTGTCAGCGTTTGCTTAAGGACGTCAGTGGAGTCCGGCAAGGTACTTGGCGCAAGTGAACCAGAAGAGGAAATACTTGGCCCCCTCTTCCATTTCTATTAACAAGATAGAGAAGGAAGCTTTTCATTTATTTCACAATACCTCTCCATTTACTGGCTCAGGTGTGACACCCACCATCTACAACTGTACCCAATAAGATTGCATGCGGAGCTCTGCAATGAAGCTCCCAGCTACCGGATCTGTTTCCAGCTGCACACACACCCCACCCCCAGCAGTCCTCCTTCAGAGAAAGGGAAGGGCAGAATGGCCGAGAATGAGGACGGCTCTGCCTTGCAGCACCAAACTTCACAGAGGCTGGGTCCTGGAAGAGAGGGGTAAGGAACAAACAGCTACGGTGAAGAGCATGTCTGGTGGTGATAATCAGAAAATTGAGATTCCCAGCGTGTGGTCCAGCCTCTGGCCCTTACTGGAGTCTGTTTGGAACAGGGAAACCATCACTCTGTCTGACAAACCCCAACTTCTGCCATTTAAAATAAGTGATGTTGTATGTGCGGTGGAGTGGAGAGATGGGTCAGTCGTTAAGAGCACTGGCTGCCCTTGCAGAGAACTGGGTTCCATTCCCAGCACCTACGTGGCTGCTCACAACTGTCTGTAACTCCAGATCCAGGAGATCTGGTGCCCTCTTCTGGCTTCTTCAGGCATTGCATGCACATGGGCACAAACACAACTTAGGCAAAACACATTTTAAAATAACAACAACAACAACAAAAAAAAACCTTCTAAAAATAGCCAGGCAGTGGTGGCCCCTGCCTTTCATCTCAGCTCTAAGGGACAGAAGCAGGTGGATCTCTGTGAGTTCTAAGCCAGCCTGGTCTACAGAGCTAGTTTCAGGACAGCCAGGGCTACACAAAGAAACCCTGTCTTGAAGAAAGATACTGAGTTAAAATTCATGGAAGTGGGGCCGAGAACAGTTGTGGAACTAAGAAGGCCCAATGCCAGGTCTTTTTCAGTAAGTTTCCATTTGAGGGAGGGTGACCTATGGTAATGATTCTGGATCCAAGATGGTGGTAGAGAGCCAAATAGGGAGGTGAGGAAGACACAGCAGGGTAGAAAAGATGGCAGGTGGCCTTGGCCATTGCAGCAGACGGGAGAGAGGTACAAGGAAGTGGCCCGTGCCAATCTGAGACCGGGAAACACATTTTGTTCCTTCAGGGACAATACTGGCCCATTATCTTAATGGCATCTTAAATCATTATCTCAACGTGATGCTTCAGTAATTGGCATTTCTAAAGTGTTCCAAATCATTCAGGAAGCAGGGGATGTTATCCGTGACAGAAACCTTGGACTCCGTCCAGAGGCAGAGCACACCCTACATCTGTCGATGTGGCTGCTGGCTTCAGAGACTCATTGTTGAGTCCATGAGCATTGTCTGCCATCCAGTGACCCTGAGCCAGATTGTTCAACTCCAGAGTCCATGGTTGGCTTCACTTATGTGTGTGTGTGTGTGTGTGTGTGTGTACATCACATTTTAATCTATGTTTGGCAGGGGCCTCTGTGGACCCATGTGGAGGTCAGAGGAAAGTTTATAGGTCTCAGTTTTCTCCTACCTTGTGAATCCTGGGGCTCACACTCAGATCAACCTTGGCAGCAAATGCCTTTACCCACTGAGCTCTATCTCTCGGGTCCCAGGCCGTCTTAATTATACTTTAACTCAGGTTTCATTTGTATTCAAAAGATGCAGGTTGTAAGATTTTGCTTAATCCGTGGGTCCTAAGTTATCTGTGAGCGGCCTACTTTCTCACAACCATCACGATGGCTCCTGAATCGCGCAGATACTTGTCATACACTTGATGCTAAGAAATGATCTTACCAAAGCATTTGTAGGAGGGATTCCCAGTATGTGTTTGTGTTTGGAAAGTCGCTCTTCCAGGTAGGGCTCTTTCACAGCAGAGGTTCATGATGTAATGGTAACCTGCTTCCTTCAGGTTGTCATCGGGTATACCCTGTAATCAAAACATGTTTATGTAGTTCCTCAATCCTAGATCATCGATGAACTGTTATATTTTGGGTCCTAAGAGTGGCTGTATCTGTAATGTGGTTACAGGTGTTTTTTTTAACATCGTTTTCTATGTTAAGGAAACAGTGTAATATAATGGCAGTCTTCTCCAACATGAGTTATGTGTGGGCTCCTTTGAAGGGAAGCACCCTCTTCATTCTCAGTGTTTAGATGGTCTTATTGTTCCTTCTTGTATAAACAAAATCAAGAATAATTGTGTAATTATAAACAGCTTCTACAATTACAATGCTAAAATTAAAAAGCATGACTACAAAGTCGAGATGGTTTCAATACGTTGATGTTAATCAAGTTTGACCGAAAGTGAAATCGCTATTGTGAGCAGAACTGCCCCCCTTGGCGGAGGCGGCTTGAGTATGGGTCTGACACACGCCCTGCGAGGTAGGCTGGTAAGTGTTTGCTCTTCACCTGTTTCTGCTTGAACCTCACTGACAGAAGGAACTTGGCCTTCCCTCAGTGTGACTGCATTGAGAAGTCCAATTGGTTATTTTCTGAGGTCCTGGGGCAATAAAGATAGTACCACACTTGCTAACCTCACTGGCATTACCATGACACATCCAATGTCCTCAAAGTCCTCTGCTAAGATGGCCTTCTGGAAGACCAGAGTACACTGGCTAGAAGATCACTCGACTAATACGTCGGCTCTTCGGAGAGTTCATGGTTGCGGGGAAAGCCTCTGTTGGACTTTTCCAGAGGTCTAGGAAACCCAGTCTGAGAAACGCTGACATACGGGGATGTGTGGATTTTGCATTACAAGATTAAGAGCTCTAAACATGAACTAGGGAAATTGCTTTGTCTCTCATAACTCATTTCTTTTTCTATAGAATAATATTTCTCTTAGTTATCCTCAATGTTAAATGAGATCACGTGCATGGTGTTTGGCAAAGAGTAGACACTCAGCAATTGCTGGCTCTCCTCCTTTCCTTCCCATAGGTTTTTCCATTTTTAGACTTTTTAAAGAAATGATTGGTGTGTTTATCTATAACGGAATGGGGCAGACCTTCCATTATATGTCCATGTGGAAGTCAGAGGACAACCCTGCGGAGTAGATTTTTTCCTTCCACTTTTATGTGGGTTCTGGGATTTAACTCAGGTTGTCAGATTTGTGTGACAAGCATTTCACTCACTGAGCTAGCTCACTGGCCCCTCCTGTTGATCTTTAAAATCAATTGAAAAAACATGGGATTAGGGTACAACTGAGTGAACAGCATTTAGCCCGCAGCAGGCCCTGGGTTCTAACACACACACAAAAGCAAAGCAGAAGTTCAAATAAGACAAAAAAAGGCCCAAAGCAAAATGAGACAAAAATGACTACAGAAATAGCATTGAGTTCATTTTGTGTTGGCCAGCCACTCCTAGAACAGGGCCTACCCTGAAGTGTGGTTAATAAACCAGTGAGACTTCATTGGAAAAACCAATTTTTCCTTTGTCAGTGGGCATCGTTGCAGATAGCTTCTTGGTTGGGGGTGGAAGTCAGTCCACTGCCCCTCTCGGCCCTGGGACCCTCTCTGGCTTGAACCTGTGCAGGCCCAGTTCCTGCTGCCACAGTCTCTGTGAGGTGAAAAGTACATCCGTGGGCTGGAAGACACTGTTTCCTTGGTGCCACCATCGTCTTTGGCTCCTACAATCTCTTTCTACCTCCTCTTCCAAATAGATCGCTGAGCCTTGAGGAGTTTGATGAAGATGTACCATTTAGGGCTGAGGGTTCTAAAGTCTCATTCTCTGCACCTTGTCCAATCAGGAGGCAGAAGTGGGCTGATCTTAATGAGTTAGAGGCCAGCCTGGACTACACAGTGAGTCCCTGTCTCTAAAAAACTAAAAATAAGATTGAAGACGAGGGCCGGGTGTAGTTCCCAAGTATGATGTGCTTAGCATGGATAGGTGAGTACTCAATATCCAGCATTCCTCACTTTCATCAAAAGCCACACACTGGGTACAGACCGGGAGAGGCAAGTGGAATGCTGGAAGAGCAAGGTTAATACACTTAAGTGTGTATTTTATTAGTCAGAGTTTCAAAAATTCCATTTTTAGTGCACTTAAATACGACTGTAATTACAGTGTTTCCCTCGCAATGTGAAAACACTATACTACTCCTGGTTGATTTCGGAAATTACGACATCCTCAAACAGATCCGCGATGTTCGGGAAGGCAGTCTTGGGGCTGACCTGGGCCATCTAGGAAACAGAAGGATGCGCATGCGCACCCCCTCTCACCTGCCAGACCAGGGGATAGCAGAGGCCGGTGGCATGGGTTCCCTCTCTAGGACGCACAAGCTGGTGTTAGGAGAGACCGCAAGAGAGCAGGGTGTCCCCACAGTAACACACTGACCGACACCCGGCTCGGAGTCAACAGCAGCACGGCCGCCAGCAGGGACATGAGCGGCACGACGGAAGCGAACCCAGCACGACAGCCGTAAAGCGACGCCACGGCGTGCTTTCCGGCTTCCAGAGACTTAAATTTTCCAGGTTCGTGAGACCTCCAATTTTTTTCTCTGTGTGTTTTAAATGAAAACACCACATCTAGACTTAACTCTGTCCTATCCGTGATAAATAGTATTATTTTGTACTTCTTTATTAGTGTTTTGTGATTTCCACTTTAATTCGTAAGTTTTAAATCTTTTAGTTTCTAAGCAAAATAAGTTTATAAATATTTGTTATTTTGCATAGGGATCGCTCTTTGAACACAGTATGCAATCATAAGACTTTTTAAAATTATTATACTGAAGGAAAACCCCCAAACAATGGGGGCTGCCTCTCGGTCCCAGAATTAGGCACACATCACACCCAAACACCTGTTTTCACAGATTCTTTATTACGCAGGGAAGAAAAGTTAAAGTGGCTTCTTTCTGACTCAGACAGAAAACAGCAGCAAATGACCTTGCGGGTGTTCAATTTTTAAGAAGAGTAAAAAAGTGAGGTCTGTGTCAGAATGAACGAGGATGTCGTGGTATATTTTGATGGGGGTGTGTTGATTGGGTGAACCAAAGGGGGCTTTTGATTGCTGGAGTTTAATACTTTGATAGTTGGATCTTGGTAATCAGAATCAGGAGAAGGAAGTGGCCAAATAAGAGAATAGACCTTCGTGGCTAGCTTTAGAAATGTAGGTTTTTAGCAACGCAGAGGGAAGGGGAGAGAAGGGCAGGGTTTGCCAGAGCCATGTGCTCGAGTGAGCTAGTATCCTTTCATATTTATTTATATTATTATATTTTATTATTGTAGTAAGTATAATTACTATAATATTATAGTAGGTAAGATAACTATGAAACTTTGTAATAATAAATTTCAAATTGTGGATAAGAAGAACAATTTCTTAGCAAACTTTCAAGAAGCTTTTTGTTTTGGAAACAGTACTGGAGAATGAACCTAGGCCTTACGCACATAGCCAGGCAAGTGGTCCACCCCTGAGCTACTTCAACCCCAGCCCTTCAGTGAATAATTTAAAAATGTAAGTATCCAATCACTATAAATAAATCAGAGTTAAACTTCTTTCCTTTGGACCCGAGCCCCCAGTGCCTGGAGATTTTACCAAAAACTGAAGGAACAAATAATCCTTATGTAAACTTTTTCTAAGAATTCAGAATTAAAAACCAGAGAAAGCTGCCCAGTGCATCATCAGCATGACTATAGCCTTAATACTCAAGTCTCCCAAAGATAATATCGGACAATAAAGGTATAAACCAATTTATTAACACAGATGTATTTTTTAAACAAACAAAAACAAAGAGGTGAATAAATTTAATAAATTATGACCAATAAATTAATAATTTACCCTGGTTGCACAAGGGAGATATATTTGTAAATTGCCCTCAGTTATTTTCTTTCTTTCTTTCTTTCTTTTTCTTTTTTTTTTTTTTGTTGTTGTTGTTTTTCGAGACAGGGTTTCTCTGTAGCTTTTGGTTCCTGTCCTGGAACTAGCTCTTGTAGACCAGGCTGGCCTCGAACTCCCAGGGATCCGCCTGCCTCTGCCTCCCGAGTGCCTGGGATTAAAGGAGTGTGCCACCACCGCCCGGCCCCTCAGTTATTTTCTTTTCGGTGCCAGGGACCGAATCCAGGATCTTGTTCCTTCTAAGAATGTGTTTACCTCTGACTTACACTCCAGTCCTAGCAAAGGTAACATTTCAAGGTAACATTATGAAATATTGAAAATGTTAAAAGCGTAGCTCTCCTCTAGTCCATACGTAAATGTAAGTAAACAGAATCACTGCAGAGTTTTTGGCATGGTCAAGTATAGGCGAAGGCGCTCGTATCCCGCAGCCCAGCAATTCCCCGCGTTTGTCTGTTCTGTGGTCCTCCGAGTGTATTCAGGGAACAGCAGTATCAGTTTCACCCGGGAAGCTGTTGGGGCTGCGCATGCTCGGGTGTCACCCCAATTTACTAGTCAGAAATGTGAGGTGGGGGGGTGATGGCAATTGCCTCTGTCTTAAAATAACTCCAAATTATTCTGATGCAGGCTACAATTTGAGAAATGATGACCTAGAGGAGTTCAGGTGCAGCTCCAGGGAGACACACGAGTGCGAGTCAGGTACAGCCCGCAGGGCTTTCGAAACGACTGGATGATCTGGATACAAACCAGAGCACCACTGTTTCCTGGTCCTTTGACTTAGGGAACATTATGTACATTTCCTGCACATTAGTTGCGCATTTGCTAAATGGGGCTGAATACAGACAGTTCCTTTTGCTTATAGTTGCCCTGAAGGTCAATTAAACCAATGCCTCGTGCGTGGTGACTAGTCAGTGCCCTCTTGGCGCGCTCAGGCGGGCGCGCTCAGGCGGGCGTTCATTGCAGTCTTGCTTGCTATAACGAAATAATGGAAGCAGACTGCTCCAAAACAAGACCGAGCGTGGACATGGAAATGGGCTATAATTGGTAAACTTTGATTGGCGGCTATATGAGTGTGAGTGTTTAGCCCTCTTCATTTTTTTACATGTGATAGCATCAAGGTAGGGAAGCCTAAAAGAGGACCCAAGGGTCATCCATCCACGTCATGAGCTGCCCTGCCTTCGGGGTAGACTGCTGCTATTCTATCCTAACATTCACCCCAGACTTCTCTGCCCACGCACGGAGTAGCCTGCCGTTCTTCCTCCGTGTAAGAAGCTTCTGGTGACTGACCTCTGTCTGCTTCTCTTGACAGCAGGAAACGGCACTCATCCATCTCACCAATCACTTTTGAAAGGACATTCTGATGTGGATCTGTTATGCCATGTCCTTTCCAATGCAACCTGGCACCTGTAGGATCGGTTGTGGGTGAAGCTGGAGCCGACTGGGTGTTCACTGCCCCTGGCTAGTTTACGCTTCAGTCGGATTTCGTTTATAGGTGCAGACTGCTTTACACCCTATGCGGCCAGACTTCTCTAGAATTTCCAGTTGTCATCTAGTTCTCTTTGGAGGGATGCTACCTCCATCAGACAGATCTGTCTTTGTGTAATCTATGATTGGAAAGAAAAGTTACGTCCCGTGGTATTCCTGGCCTCTTTCACTAATGGCATGCGGGCAATCTTTAGGGGAAGATTCATCCCTTTCATCTAGTGTCAGCTTCCTCCACAAAGTAACTGTGTCATCTAAGTAAAAAAAAAAAATGTAGTTGCAAAATAATTGACTTGTAATTCCACCTTTTATTAGCATTTCATTACACTTGCATACACGTATATAGTGTACTTTCACCGATTCAACCCCTCTATTACCATTTTCTCCTTTCTCCTCCTCGCTCCCCCTTCCACATTCCTAGAGACCCCTTCTACCCTTTTTTAAAAATGTTATCACATTTATCTCTTTGTACGGGGGGGGATGGAAGGGTGCACATGTGCCGTGGGACATGCATGTAGGGGTCAGAGAACAACCTTCAGGAGTTAGCTCTCTCCTCGCACCCTGTGGTTCCCATAGACCAGGCTCAGACCGTCAGGCTGGTCAGTTCCTTCACCCACTGAGCGATCTTGGCAAGCCCCTTTTCCATTCCTATCATTTTCCTCCTTTATCCGTTGACGTGCACTGTATTAGTTACCGTACTGATGCAGACCAACTTATAGAAGAAAGAGTTCGCTAACAGTCCCAGGGAAGGAGTCCGTAATGGCAAGGAAACCATGGCAGCGGGCAGTCAGAGCAGGACGCTGAGAGATCACATCTTCCACTGCCTACCGAAAACGGAGGCAACTCTTCAAACCGTCCCTTCAGGGATACCTCCTCCGCTAGCAAAGCTCCACTTCCTAAAGGCTCTACAACCTCTTCCAAACAGCGCCACCCACTGGGTACCAAGTGTCCAAATTCCTGAGCCTGTAGGAGACGCGCTCTTTCATCACTGGGAGTATCTTAGCAGATCCGTAACTTGGGTATTGTAAATAGTTCCATAATAAACACGGGTGTATGAGTATTTCTGTGGTATACCGACTTCAGTCTCTTTGGGCATCACACAGTGGTTCCATTTTTAATTTTTGAGAAACCTCCATGCTGATTTTTTTTTTTTTTTTACTGTTGCTGTGCTAATTTGCAATCTCAACCATGTATGTAGCAGGTCCCTTTCTTTGTATCTTTACCAGTATTCATTGCTTTTCATTTTGCTTTGGCTTGGTTGCGGTTTTTTTGTTTGTTTGTTTGTTTGTTTTTTGATGACTATCACTTTGACTGCCATGAAAATACTCAATTTGTATTTCCCCGGTAGCTAAAGACGCTGAAAATTGTTTCCATATGTGTATGAATTAGTTTTATTGTTTCATTTGGAAAGCGTCTAATATGGGTTCATTTGCCCATTTGTTGATAGGGTTATTTATTCTTTTGAAAGGCCTGGTTCTTTCAGTTCTGTATACATTCTGATTCTGAAGAGCTGGCAAAGACATGTTCCAACTCTGACACCTGTCTCTTCATTGTTTTCTTTTTTGTTTGTTTGGGGGGGTTGTTTGTTTGTTTGTTGTTTATTTGTTTGTTTTGGTTTTTCGAGACAGGGTTTCTCTGTAGCTTTGAGGCCTGTCCTGGAACTAACTCTTGTAGAGCAGGCTGGCCTCGAACTCACAGAGATCCGCCTCCCTCTGCCTCTCGAGTGCTGGGATTAAAGGCATGTGCTACCACCATCTGGCTTCTTCATTGTTTTCTTTGGCTGTGCAGAAGCTTATGAGTTTGGTGTGATCCAATCTGCCAATCCTTGCTGTTGTTCCTTGAGCTAGGAGCAATATTCAGAAACTCGTTGTCTATGCCTGGGTCTTCATGTCTTTCCTCCTTGTTTTCCACTAGCAGTTTCAAGTGTAACTCTTCTTCAACCTGCTTGGTACCTCTAAATCTCTCTTACGTGACTGAAATCAAAGTAGTGGAGTGTTTTATAAGAGACATGCTGACAGGTCTTTGCTTAAGAGAGCCTCTAGGGGGCAGTGTTATCCAGCAGAATCTTAACACTGCCCTTCATTCAATCTACCCCGTTCACATTCTTCACCAAAGTTCTTTCTGGTCTTTTGTATTTTGGATAATGTCAAGGCATCGTTGGTCCTAACTACTAACATATGCTAAATGCTTAGCAGATTATGGCCTTTTAATTAGTTGATCTCACAGATGAAGAAGTCTCCAGCTGAACTAGTCCTACATTTTATTTATTTATTTATTTATTTATTTATTTATTTATTATGTATACAATATTCTGTCTGTGTCTATGCTCGAAGGCCAGAAGAGGGCACCAGACCCCATTACAGATGGTTGTGAGCCACCATGTGGTTGCTGGGAATTGAACTCAGGACCTTTGGAAGAGCAGGCAATGCTCTTAACCTCTGAGCCATCTCTCCAGCCCTAGTCCTACATTTTTACATGAGAAGTGCAGCTCAGTTTTCTGGAACACCTATAGGTCCTGGGTGTCTTTCCAATTTAAAGCTACGCCTTGAGTCGATATCAGCGCTTGGGTAACTCATATTCCTCAACTCGCGGGTTTCCTTGTGACTTCTTATTCCCACCCTGCACACTAGTATTGCTATCTGTTTCTCTCTTCTGGCTGTCACTATTTGGTTTATATGTTTAAGTACTCTGATAGTATGTGCATATATGATATGTATACATATATATTCCCAATAAATTAACCTTTTGTGAGTATGCATCTTTTCTTAATTGAATTTTTTTTTTTACTTTAGATGAACTCAAAAGTTTTGTCATAGTGAATGACTATGCACCTTGCCCTTTTAACTTGTCTGATTCTTTGAAGGACAGAATTCCAGAAATAGGGCCAGCAAGATGGTTCAGTTGCTTGCCACCAAGACTGACAACCTGAGTTTGATCCCCAGAACCAACTCCGAGAAGCATCATTACCTGGGCCAGTGGGATTGTGTCCGAAGCATTTAGTTCCAAATAGCTATTACTACAGGTCTTGAGTAGAGGGACACATGATTTCACTTATTTTTGCATCTCCCGTTAGCTAAAATTATGTTGGAAACCATCTAAGTGCTAAAAAACAAAAGTTTTTTTTCTTTCTTTTTTTTCTAGCTTTTATTCAAGTGTACTGACTTGACAATGATTTTAGATTTTGTTAAAAGCAGCCACATCCATGGATTGTACATAGTCCTCAAAAGCAGTAATCTGCTCCTCCAGCCTATCGTCTTCAACCACACACTGTATTTGAAGCTTTTTAATTCCGTATCCCACTGGAACCAATTTGGAAGAGCCCCACACCAAGCCGTCTGCCTGAATGCTCTGACACACTCCTCTAACTTTGCCATGTCTGTCTCATCGTCCCAGGGCTTCACATCCAGTAAGATGGAAGACTTGGCAACAACCGCAGGCTCTGGAAAAGATTTAAAAATGCATTGCCCTTACTCAAATGAACACCTTTGCTCTAGGTCCATCTTCTTACAGAAAAACACACAAAACCCACCTCGTGTCTGTCACGCACATTCCTCTTTCTGTGTGGCTAAGAAAGAGGCATGAAACTGTGTAACAGTCTCTATCCCACAGAGGAATGCTACAGCTGCCACCATCAGATCAGCTGCAGACCAGTAGCTGTGGACCAAAAGTATTTTTTTTTTAAGACTTACTTATTTGTTATGTATACAACATTCCTTCCATGTATGCTTGCATGCCAGAAGAGGGCACCAGATCTCATTACAGATGGCTGTGAGCCACCATGTGGTTGCTGGAAATTGAACTCAGGACCTCTGGAAGTATAGTCAGCGCCCTTAACCTCTGAGCCATCTCTCCAGCCCAAACAAAAGTATTTTATTTGATGATAGAATGAGCAAGTGGGTAAAACCAATGACTGGTGACAAAGTTTTGATGCCTAGAAAGTAGTCACACATTTTAAATTTCGTAGTCAGTCGCTTTCCTTCCCCCAAAGCTGCGAATAGACCTGGCACTTCCGTGGGTTAGAGATGGACACACAGCTCTTCCCTTAGCCCAAAGGCAGCTACTTCCACTGTTCCATCCAGTCGCTGATTCCTTCAGAAGCTCCCTTCTCTTGTGACGCTGCCACCTGCATCGCTGCTCATTATGAGTCTTGTGTCCACTATTCAGCTGGTGGAACGGAAAGCGTGGGGAATACTGCGTGTGGTGTGGAGGAATTTGCAGCTATTGTAACGTATTTAGGCTGTCTTTGACGCCTCATCTCTTGACAGCATCAGCTCACTTCAATGTCACCTACCGCTCCAGTCATCCCCCGCCACTTCATCCTCCTTTATTATCACTACAAGATGGATTTTCTTCAATCTTTATCGAACAGTGATCCCCTCTCCACTAAAGCTAAGCCTCCTCAGACCGTCATTTGAGGATCTAGGGATGTCAGTTCATCATCTCCTGAGTTGTATCTGCCAACACTGGCCTTCCTAGCTTACTCAGATCAGAAAACACACCCTAACTGTGTCATGTGCTTTTGTCTCCATTTTTTTTATTTTTATTTATTATGTATACAATATTCTGTCTGTATGCCTGAAGGCCAGAAGAGGGCGCCAGACCTCTTTACAGATGGTTGTGAGCCACCATGTGGTTGCTGGGAATTGAACTCAGGACCTTTGGAAGAGCAGGCAATGCTCTTAACCACTGAGCCATCTCTCCAGCCCCCCTCCATTTTTTTTTAATTTTGTTTTTATGTTGTTCTGATTTTTAGACAGAATCTCACCATGTAGCCCAGGCTGACCCCAAACTAGGATAGCCTTCTCACCTCTTGTTCCTGAGTGCTAGGATTACACACACGTGTGTGCCACCATGCTTCTTGCTGGCGGTGGTGGTGCTGGGGACTAAATCGGTGACCTCACACTAGGTAGGCGAGCCAAGTCTTTCTAACAGCAAACTTCAAGCCTTCACCTGAGGCCCATGAGGCCTCTCTTTTTCAAAATGAACTAACTGCACGGGGCCATCACTAACTCCACCCTCTCCATCCTCCATCTGCCACGGGTCATCGTTGCCGGCTGCAGCTCTTCGTATCTTTCACCCGTTTTATCCCTTTGCCTAGATTTACATTTTCTTCCTCATAATACAGCTTAAGTTCTAGAAGGTCGAGACACATGCTGTCTTTGCACTCATGACGCCACCAAGAAGTGCTTGCTTGAGTGGGCTTCCAGTGTTTCTCTGGAACCTTTAGGGTGAGGGCAAGTCGGCATTCTGCAGACTAATGTTGCGTCCTCTGCTTTCTTGCAGCCATACTCCCCATCGCTTCCAGCTGCTGCACTGAGGTTTCCCACCACGTCTCCAGAAGGCTTCTGGAGAGAGTGAACGCCTGCAGCATCCAGAGAGCCGACGGGGACTGTGACTTGGCTGCCGTCATGTGAGTGTTGTTCAGCGAGGACGTGTCAAACCAAAGGCTGGTGATCCCCTTGGGGAACAGGCGCTAATGCTTTACCTGGCGCACAACCAACACAGCACTCAAACAAGGGTAGGGAGAGTAACTCTCCTGTCTTTTGGGCGCCAGGCTACCTGGGGTAAACACACAATCCCTCTGTATGCCCTGAGTCCTGTGCTCGACCTTCAGCTTTTTCTAAAAGAAAAGATTTATTATTAATTTTGTATATATTGTGTTCTGACTGCATCTATGCCTGCAGGCCAGAAGAGGGCATCAGATCTCACTACAGATGGTTGTGAGCCACCGTGTAGTTGCGGCAGTTGAACTCAGGACCTCTGAAAGGGCAGCCAGTGCTCTTAAGCTCTGAGCCATCTCTCCATCTTGTCACCACTTTAAACTGTAACTTTCCCCAGGCAGGAGAAGGTTGCTGACACTTTTACTCTCTGAATTCAACAGGAATTATAATCTGAAAAACAAACTGGCAATGTCTGCACTTGTTACAGCACTGCAAGCAATCCACTTGCAAATGCCCTTGTTGCTTTTGATTCTGGAGTGTTGGTTCACCTGCAACCCCCTGGCCCTCCCACCCCTTCCACTACACCTCAGGGTCAGCACTGTAGGTCAACAACAGCAGTCTAAGAGGAAGGCATAATTTATTTCCCTGCCATGCAGGAGTGGACAAGGTTACAGGGTTCATCTGCTGTAGTATTGCTGGCACATGGTAGATGTGGGATTCTCACACAGCTCTCTGGCTTAAGAACACTATTTCATCTAAGGTCATTCAAAAGGAAGGGTGGAATGTAGAGCCTGTAATCTTAGCATTCAGGAGGCTGAGGCAGAGGGGTCACCAGTTCAAGGTCAGTCTGGGTCACTTGGTGGTAGCCTATCTCAACAAAAACAACGTTTTCCCCTCATCTCCCTCGAGTGCTGAGCTTAACACCACTTACGCGTCTGGGTGACGCTAAGGAGCCATTTGGCATTCTTTCCTTTGGAACATAGAATAACATCATTGCCTATGCCCAAGCTCCTGAGACACCTTTGTTCTATTAAAGTATCAGTCAGTGATTATGTACTGAGAACTGTTCTGTAGACTGAGGATACAACAGAGATCCAGTGGTCTCTGACCTTCTGGAGTCTTTAAGGAACTTTTTATGCGTCTGGGTTTCACAGGTCATCCTATGAGTTTCCTTAGTCTGGTAGTTTGAATTATTTCTAGGATTATACACACACACACACACACACACACACACACACACACACACACATTTTAAGAAAAGGGGGAAATATATTGCTTAGCTTGTATCATATGCCCAATTATTGCTATTTTATTATTAGAATGAGAAAATGAAGATTGAGGATTTCTCTGCATCTTTTCAGAGAAATCTACTCACTATGTAAGTTGAGAAACCCTGATCCAAGACAAGAATTCTAAAAATGGCAGAGAAAGAGTTCATAAACCATTGACAGACAATCGTCAGATTAGGGGACTGTGAAGTCCTTGACATTTTTTTTTTTCCGAGACAGGGTTTTGCTGTAGTTTTAGAGCCTGTCCTGGAACTAGCTCTTGTAGACCAGGCTGGCCTTGAACTCACAGAGATCGCCTGCCTCTGCCCCCCAAGTGCTGAGATAAAAGGCGAGCACCACCAACGCCCGGCTGTCCTTGACATTTTTTACTCAGGAACCTGTAAGCAGCTCCCAGGCAAAAGGTCTGGTCCACGGGTTTTATAAGATTTTCCAAAGATTCAGAGACTAATGAAGTTTTAAAACTATACTTGGGGTCAGATTCTGAGGAGCAAACAATTATTTGTCCAGGATTAAATAATCTTGCATGACTACCTAGGAAAACAGAGGGTAGAGAACTCTCTCTGCTTCGCTTCACCTCTGTTTGCACTGCCCTGGCTCCAGCAGCTTGGATGATTTGATCATTGGGAACCAGTGTAATCTGTGCCATCCAAGGTGCATATCATAAGGTGCCTCCTTCTAAGGGGCATTTCAAGTCCCTAAGCTTTGGGAGATCTCTGAGCTAGGGTTTGAATATAATATGTCTCCTACAGGCTTATTGCTGGGTGATGGCTCTGCAGCTGGTAGCCCTATTCTGGGAGGTTCGGTAAACTCTAGAAGGTGGGGCCTGCTGCAGATAGGGCCTTGTCAGAAAAACTGGGTCACTAGGGGTCTGACTATGTCCCCAGCCCCTTCCTCCCCATCACAATATGAAGAACCCCTGCAGTACATATTCCCACTGTCATGGTGTTCTTCCCCAAATGCTTGGAGCCAATTGGTCATGGTTGAGCCCTCTGAAACCACAACTCTCCCCTAAATTCATCCTTAAATAGGTCCTCTAAGACTAATAAAGTATACTTGATAGAAATGGCAGTATTTTAATTAATCTTCATAAATATCATTGGTAATAATTGGAGAGTCAAAAATACATAGACAGTTGATAGCAGCTGGAAGCATCTGGATGCTTGTTTTTGTTTAGTTCAGCACCTAGTCTGCCGAACTAGATTGACCAAGCTTGTCTTTGCTGCTCTGAGAAACACCAAAGTCCTAACTGCTCTTCTCAAGTCCTTCCACGTCACTGACGTAGGCATATCTGTCATTTCAACCTAAAGGAGGCATAACAACATTTACAAGGAAGTCTCATGTAGAATTAGGAAAACAGACAAAGTTCCTGTGGGTATTTAAGAGACAGCATCTTGAGAACACTATGGGTGATAGGATTGTAGTTTAGGTGGGGATTGGCGGATGTCAGAGATCTTAAAGGCATAGACAATGTAAACCCTTTCTTATTTGCTGTTTTTGTCCTTCTCTGACCAAAATGCCTGACAGAAACAATGTGGTGGAGGAAAGATTTATTTGGCTGATGGTTTTTAAGTGTTCAAGCCCATGGTGGTAGTCAAGACATGGCGGAGTCCTTGGTGGGAGGTTGCGTGTGGCAGAGGCTCTGCATGTCATGGTGGATCAGAGAGCAGAGTGAGATCAGAACCAGCAGCCGGGCCATGGCTTTCAAAGGCCAGTTTCTAGTGAATGGTCCCACAGCTTCCCCAAACAGGAAAACAGTCAGGGAGCAGGCGTTTGAAACTTTAGCCAGTGGAGAACATTTCAGATTCAAACCATAACATCCTCACTTTGAGGAGGAAAAAATGTAATTGAAGAATTAACCTTTAGGTTTTAAAAATAGATTATTTTGTTTTGCTTTTCAAATTAATGTGTTTTTTAATGTGAGTGCTCTATCTGCATGTACACATGCCTGCCAAAAGAGGGCATCAGAACCCATTATAAATGGATGTGAGCCTCCTTGTGGTTGTGGGGAAATTGAACTCAGGACTTCTGGAAGAGCAGCCAGTGCTTTTAACCACTCATCGTACCAGCCCACAAAGTATTAATTTTTAATTAAAAGGAAATTATAAAGCCAATCTCTGTTTTTAAACATTTGATTTATAAAAGTACAAATTTATAAATTGAACCCTGTGCTGATAAGCATGTTATGATTTGGTTCCAAAATGAATACAAGTTTCCCATGGAGGATGCCAGCTACAAGCTGCCCTGCAACTGTGGTGCCAAGCGCTGCTGTCGCTTCCTTAACTGAGGCTGTCGCTGCCCCAGATTCCTCCCGTGCCCACTGCCATTTCACCCTGACCTGTGGATGTGCGCATGGAGCGGGCAAGAGCCACCCAGCCATCGGCTCTTTCCTGCCCCGGGGACCCAGGATGTAGATATTGTACAAAGGTTTCTAAATTCCTTCTTTTCTATGTACTTTTTTATTTAAGAGAGTGGGGTCCCAAGAGGGAATCTCCCCCACAATAAAGTCTGTCAATGTTTGGGAAAATAGATTTTTGTATCTTTCAGTGGTTACAGATCCTCTCTGTTGTGTTTTCTAATACTCAACCTTAGAAGTCTTATTTTCAAATGATTTTACTACAGAAGCATACCTGGGTTTGTCCAAATGTAGTCATTTAACTATGACTGCATAAAAAGGCTTTGATATTTGAGACCAGAAATGCAGAAAGCATCGCTTGTATTACAAATGCCTCACCCAAGCAGCGTATACTATAAACTACAATTCATTATTTAATTCATAGAAATTAAATTACTAATGATCTCACTAGACTCTTCTGCTCTATTTTCTGCCTGGAAATAAGTCCTTTGTTTCTGACCCTATAAATAAATGATCATTGTACTTTCTCCATGCCTTAGACAGCAGTTTGATTGTTCCCAGCCCTCTACCCAGACTTCATTAAGGAACTTCCGGAAACACAATGAAAAGCTGTTATCTTTAGCAGAGGTGCAGGTTTCTTGTACTTCACGGAGATTATCTCTTAAACAGAAATCTCTGTTTGTTATTGTTGTCCACCTCACAACCCCACCCCATGGAGCCATTCAGGAAGTTAGGATTTCTCAGAAGTAGTTTTGTAATGATGCTCCAAGGAAGAGGGGGGAGAAATAAACTTCAGGGAGTAATCCCAGATATAGTCTCCACAGAAGGACCACAGCCCACACTCACTGGAGAGGACCACAGCCCACACTCACTGGAGAGGACCACAGCCCACACTCACTGGAGAGGACCACAGCTCACACTCACTGGAGAGGACCACAGCTCACACTCACTGGGGAGGACCACAGCTCACACTCACTGGAGAGGACCACAGCCCACACTCACTGAAGAGGACCACAGCTCACACTCACTGCAGAGGACCACAGCCCACACTCACTGGAGAGGACCACAGCTCACACTCACTGCAGAGGACCACAGCCCACACTCACTGGGGAGGACCACAGCCCACACTCACTGTATTTTTTTTTCTTTTGAGGCAGGGTCTGTCTGTCTAAGTAGTCCTGGCATTCAGGAACTATGTGAATCAGGCTGACCTTGAACTCACAGAGTGCTGGGATTGAAGGCACATGCCACCACACTGTGGTCCATTGGACTATATGTACCGGTACCCTTCCTGGGTGAAGAATCAGGAGGCCTCCCTGGTTTCTGATCTAGAAATTCACAGTAGGGTGAGCTGGTGGTACTGTTAGGGATTATGAAACTGGGGTGTCTGAGGGAGGATGGAGGATGCTACCTACTTCCTTTCTCAGTGTTGCCTCAACCTGAGTGAAAGGGCAATTAGGAGCCAGCTGGGGTTCAGCATGTCCTACTCCTGAGGATTCCGAACACCGTCGAGAATTGTATTCAACTCTGAGCCCTGCCAGGGCTGGCCATGAAACAGGCTTCCATGGGGTGGTTGTTGCCTCTTCCTTTAGCTCCTACACGGTTCCGCCTCCTATGGCTTCTCGGGGAGAGCATCTCTCTCTCCTTTGGGTGGATAGGAAGGAGCTGTAGCTAAAGTTTTACTTTTTCTAGCCCAGCCATGCTAGAAGTTTTCTCCCACAAGAGCAAAGCAACTAACTGGCTGCAGATAATCAGCACTGATTGCTAAGTCCCCTCTATGTGAGGCAGTTGGAGAATATAAAGTCTTCTATTAGGATGTCCGCTCCTTTCAGATTGATTTTCCTCCACAATCTGACTTTCCTACACTAAAGCCCACCCACACGTTTCCACGGTCGTCTCCTCTGTTGATTCCACACATTATCTGATAATGGTTTCTCTTGAGAGAAATAGCAACCTGTTCCCCGCCCCTCCCTTCATCTCCCCGTGACTATCAGGCTTGAGGGTTTTAGTTTATCTGGACACAGCTATATTATACATGTAGAAACAGCAGGATTTGCCACATTTCACCAGATCTGCCTGGCACCTAATGGAGAACTTTAAAAAGAGAAACTCCTCTAGTTAGCCCAAATTGTGGGGGCCACCCCCTAAAAATAAAAACAAATTCTGAATTGTAATTAGAACTACATTATGTTAAATTTTATTGAACACCAAAATATTTTAGTAGATTTTTCTATTGGCCAAATTTGACTTTAGGTCTGTAATGAGTTACTGCATTCCTATTGTAATAGGGGCTTTTCAAAATTGTCTCAACTCTTCCTCCATCAAGATAGAGTGTTTCCTAGGTAGGAGAAGTGAAACAAGTGCTCAGACAAAAGACATAGGAAATTAAGTACCCGAAGAGGCATATGAAGAGAAGAAAGAGGATGGTCAACCAAGGGGGTCCAGACAAGGGGGTCCAGACAAGGGTGTGCCTGCGAAGGGCGGGAAGGATGAATTGGTTTTGTTGGATGAAGTTTGAAGTGGGAAGAGAATTGTTTTCCCTGAGTTTGTTACTATGTTTTCCTCCTTTCGTCCTCTCATTCCCCCTCCTTTCTCCTCCTCTTCATCCAATCTCCCCGTTCCCTCCTCCTCAGTTTAACACTCGACTGACACTGAGGACAACAGACATCCTCTTGGTGTTCCATTTGACGTCCCTAAGAATGCAGTGTCCAAAAGTGGGGGCTGTCTGCAAGTTACCAGTTCTTTATATAGGTGTAATTCTTTGGTTCTTGTTTGTTTTGGAGGCAGGGTTTCTCTGTGTAGCCCTGGCTGTCCTGGAACTCCCTCTGTAGACCAGGCTGGCTTCAAACTCAAGAGATCCACCTGCCTCTGCCTCCCAAGTGCTGGAGTTAAAGGCATGCGCCACCACACCTGGCTTGTACTTGTAATTTCCGTGAAGATATTTTTTTTTCTCCTTTTCTTGGCAGCCTCCATGTTAAACGCAGAAGGATTTGCATCAGCCCGCACAATCATATGTTGAGGCGCTGGATGAGAGCCTCACAGGTGAAGACTGGCAAAGGAAACCCCTGCCGTAAGAGCGACAGGAAGAGTCACACCCCGAGGAAGCACGGGTCACAGAGCCACAAAGCTCCGGGTTAGAATGGACACAAGACCCTACAGGGATAACGCCACAAGTGAAACCGGTCCATAGTTGGTCATAAATTTGCCCCCTGAATCTTCCTTACAGACACCCCATGGTGTTTTGTTTTGCTAAAGGATGGTTGCGGGTGAGGATGTTAAGTTCAATGGTTGTGCAGCTTTGAGGGTCAACCCTTGGCACCGAAAGCAAAGACCAAACAAAAATGTGCACAGGTAACCAATGATATACTTAACTGAAAACATAAAATTCATCTTTATACACAAAATTTAAAGGGATAATATTGATAGAATTCTCCTAACTTTTAAATTGAAGTTCTCTGGTCCTACCGAGGAGCTGAAGGATTGGTACAGGATTCTGTACACACCTGCCACCTGCATTAGTCACTGTGAACATTCTCTCTCTCTTCTGTGTGCTTGTGTGCACTGCATATACATGGAAGGGGTTCTTCACTAAACCATCTGCAAAGTTGCAAGCCTGACCTTTGTCTAGCCCATTTCCTGTTACTGAAGTATTTCTGATTAGGTAACTTCTAAAGAGTACAAGTTTATTTGGCTCAGGTTTCTGAGGTGGGAAAGCCCGAGAACTTGACACTAACTGGTCAGCATCTGGGAAGACCTTTACAATGAAACTTAATGTGACATGTGGCAAGACAGCCCAGTGTGCTAACTGGATCCTCTCCTTTTCTTATACAGCCACTAGCAACATCAGAAAGACTACACCCAGGCAGCCTCATTTAACCTCAACTAAGGTTAAATTTAAAGGCCCATCTCCAGATGCCAACAACATAGAGATTTAAGGATCAAGTTCCAATACATAAATATCTGGAGAACACACTCAAACCATAGCAATACTTCAGCTCCAAGTTCTTTCTCGAATTATCACCCAAGAATAAACACATTTTCCTAAATAATTACACTAGCTGTTTTATACCTGGAAAGTCAGCAATTTTGTATAGTCTATACTCAAATTTCTTCCCAGATCACCTTATATAATTTTTTCCCGTCCAGGTTCACATATTGCCATTCATTTTTATGTTGCCTTAATATTTTCAATATAAAAGTGTCCCTTGGGCTTTTTCTTTTCTGCCTTCCTCCTGTTCTTCCATAGCTTGGACTCTTTAAAAGAGTAAAGGTCAGAATTTGCTGCACATTCCACGTTCGTGTACTTGGTCGTCGTGATCATCTCAAACTCCCCCTCCGGGTCTGTGCCCTTCTTGTTTCCCTTGTGGTTCCGCACCACCGTTTTCTAAGTAGTAAAGGGTAAGCCAAGTGCACTTAGAGGCTTGAATGGCTACGATCATGTTGTAAACTTGAAAGCTGGAGAAGAAACTCTGCCTCACTGCCCAGAACTTCTCTCTTCTGTTGTGGTTCTCAGCGCAGCAGCAGCATTATAAATACAGAAATTGACTGACCCGGAACTAGTCAAGTAGACCATGCTGGTCTTGAATTTACAGCCATCCACCTGCTTCTGCTTCCAGAACAATAGGATTAAAGGCATGTCCAACCACATGGCTCTAGAAGCCAATTAAAAAAAAAAAAAGACATTTCCTAATCCACTTCCTCCATGTGTTGTGAGCTGATTCACACTGAGAAATTTAGACACATGGTAAAAGCCCATTTCCATGACAACCGTTAGAACAGGATCAGTTTGCCAGGTGTCCTCGGTGTCTCGGGCAGTCCCAGGCAGTAGCATTACTAGGATTACTTGGAGGTACAAACGAAGTAGTGCTAGACCTGATGTCAGTCAAAATATCACCAGGTCAACCTTTGTCTAACGCCCCTCATAGAAACCGATGCAGCGTGCAGTTTCTTTAGGCTCACCAACAGTCCTGCAACTTTGTTTGGGTAAGAAAAGTGGAGGCTCGGAGAGGTCAAATGACTTGCCCAGCATCTTATAGTAAGAGGCAGAGACAAGCTGCGTCCAGATGACCGGACTCTTTGCTAGTTTTCCCTGCAGCCCCAACAGTGGACTGAGACATATGGACATGGAGGTGGGAGAGGAAATCTATCCCTGCGGTTCCCAGAGGACGAGGGACACATCTGGTTGACAGCATTAAAACCTCTGCCACCAGCACTGCGGTGAAGACTATTGGCAAAAGCCACTTTCCTAGACCAGACTGGGCCTCGACCTGATCCGATGCACTTTTATGTATTCCCAAGGTGGAGGAAACTACAAAATATTAGTCTTTGGCTTGCAAAATATTTTTCTTCAGATCCGTCTTTTGAATCTATCGTCGAATTTTATCGGGAAGTATAGCATCCTTTGATAGCTCAGCTCTGGCATGCCTTTGGCAGGCAACCCTGAGGAAAAACGCCATTATCATTCGGCATCATCAAAGTGCAGGTCTAAACGCCAAAGAAAGCAGCACTAAATTTACAATTGTAATAATACAAAATCAGAATGAGGCACAGTAGACATGTTGAAAAGTTAAAATGAAAACCAAAACATTGATCTTTGAGTCTTTCAACTAATCATTTGAATCATAATTATTGTTATATTTATTGTTATAATTCTTTTATTTCTACTTGTAACTATCATCCATAACTTGATACAACTTGGGGTCATGACAAATGACAGTATGTGTGATATGTTTTAAAAGCTGATGGCTGTGGTTTGGGTAAGTGTCTCCTAAGGCTTGTGTATGGAAGGAAGACCTGTTCTTCCATACTTGGTGCTCCTGGGAAGCAGGGGAGAATTCGGCACATGGAGTCTAGTGGGCAAACTCGGGTCCCTGGGTGTGTGTCCTGTGTTAGTATCACAGCACCAGAAACTAAGCAGCTTCTTTGGCCACATATTTCCAGCATGACATTCTGTCTGCCCCAGGCCCAGGGGTCACGGAGACCCAACTGATCGTGGACTGAAACCTTTGAAACTGTGAGCCGAATGAAGCCTGTCTGCTGTCTCAGTTGATTTGTCATGAGTATTTGTGACAGAAAAAGACGGGTTTTTACTGTAATGTGAGCAGTTAAGATTTAGTATCTGAAAGACTAAGTCTCTTAGAGTCTGCTGTGTGCTTAGTAAAATATTATCACTCTTATACTGTGTACAATATTGTAAGTACTGTTACTATATCACAAGTTCTATAAGTCACCAGTCTAACCTATAAGCCTTCCTTTTAGAATATGTATTCTTCTTATACTTTATTAAAAATTATACATTTTATTATAAAATTTTCCATTGTTCTCTTTTAAACAAAGGAGTTCAATTTTGCATGCTGTTCTTATTCCAAGACCTGATTAATGTTTTTAAGGCTTTTTTGAGGTTTTAGTGCTTTCAGAGGGTTAGTGTCATAATTCCAAATGAAATACTTAAAGTGTCAGTTTGTGGGTTTTAAGCATTATCTACTGCCTCCTATTGTCCCTTCCTTTCTCCCTCCTCACCCCAGTTGATGAGTTTTATTGCCGTTATTTGTAACCTTTGACTGTCAATCTACCTCCCATTCTAGTGCACTGACCCTTCCTCTTCTCTTCCTACTCTCCTTCCAAATCCTGCCAGCTACCCTTGCACATTTATTTCTATGTATGAGATTGAATACTATAATTTCATAGCATAATAATTGTCTTTGTGCTTTAAGACAGGGCTTCCCAATCCTGACGATTTTGACAACTTGGCTGGATCATTCTTTATCCAGAAAGTTCTCTTATATAAATCCCTTCTATTCTTGTTTTGGTGAGTTCACTCACTTGAAGTCTCGGGGCTGCTCAAAAGGCTGCAGAGACTTCTCTGTTTGTACGTGAGAAGTTGTTCACAGTTCTAAGAGTATAGAAAACTGGGTTCATATCCACTGTAGGGAGGGTGTGTTTGCCCATTTGAGAAGCACCTCTGGTGCCTACGAACTAGGTGTCATCCAAATGTCTCCAGATGTTACCAGATGTCTCTTGGACAGAGGGAGAAAAATTAGCCTTTCTCCAATTATAAACTACTAGCTTTAAATCTAAAGTGATTTTTAAGTAGAAAAACAGCTGAACTGAAGAATGCTTAAGATGACCCCAAGATTTCTTACCCTGGTAGACACATGCTGTCATATTGAGGATTATCCGGGTGTTGCAATAAAGGTATTTTGTGGCAGTAACTATGTTCGCAGATCAGTTGACATTAAGATGGGAGATTATCTAGGCAGGAATGACTAAACCACTGGAGATCTTTAAATATCGGTCTGAAGGTCAGAGACAGGGAAAATAGAGAAATTCAAATCACAAGGCACTCAAAGATCTTGTGCTCATCACGCTGCTTTTGAACAGGGTAAGAACAAATTCCTAGACAGCTTTAGAGACTCAGAATTCCCAGAGGGCTTCTGTCTAACACTCTGTAAGAGCTCAGACAATAGTAATTGCTGTGTGTTTACTTTCTCCACCACCGTCAGCTGGGCCTGGTGGGTGTTCCAGGTGAAGATGGCTACAGTCTGATTCTGAGGGTCCAAAACAGTGGGGTCCTCTGGAATATGCCATGAGTGAGAGTGATCAGAGTTGGTTGGAAACAGTCAATCCATCCAGTGGGGCAAACTGGTTAGAAGTCTCCTCCAATGGGAGATTCTGGTCAGGGGTCCTCTCCTGGTGTGATACGTCGTCAGTCAATACATGTTTGTCACAGTGATTTGGATACTGCTGCAGAGTAAACTTGCTCCTGGGGACTTGTCTGGAAGTTGTTCTTGGGAAGGTTGGCCCAGGAAATGCTTCCCCACGATGCCGGCCTTGGTGCAGCATTTGAAATTCAAGGCACTGGACGGATGTGGCTCAGAGAGCTCACAGCTCACTCACCACCGTGCATCTAAGTCATTCCCACCGCGAGAAAGTAGACAGCCAGCCCAGTGTGTCTTTATGCCTTCTGCTCTTTCTATGTGCCCTTTCCCAGACAACAGTCATTCTGGAGCAGGGCACACCCCATCGATCTCATCTTACATCCGCAAGGACCCTATTTCCAAATAAAGTCACACCAGGAGGAACTGGGGGTTAGACTTTCCCCATGAGAATTTGGGTGACTGCAGAGACACAGGGACTCCTGTCATAGGGAGGTCGAGGGAAATGAGAATGGGGGAGGAACTTAACTGAAACATTCCCCATCAGGTGGTTGGCAACTACCCTTCCTGTGCCACCGGCTACTGAGAAACTGCGAAATTCCCCTTTGGAGATAAGGGCAGTGTACTTCTAAGCTTGTGGCTACTGCTCATTCATTGTTGAAAGAGCAAATGGATGCTCAGGAAACTCGTCATCTTTAGGCACATTGAAGTCTTTTTTAAATCTCATGAACAGAAAATTAACCACTTCTTCCAAATAGCAGGAATTGCTCTTTTGTTTTGAATACCATCTAAAAACTAGAAATGTGAGAAATACTCTATTTGCCCTCAGAATAACCCCAAAAGTCATTTTCCTTTAGATGCTACAAAAGGGAAAGACCAAGGCCAGAGGGATTAAACAATTTACTCAGTTGTAAAACAATTTACTATTAAGTGGTAGAGCCTGGGATCTAGCCGAGGATTTTGTCAGCACTAAAACCTGGCCCATTTCTCTGTATACCACGTGCACTGTCAAATGGTTTCCAGCAGGTTTACAAACATTCTGGTTAGAGACCTAAGAAAGTATCTCTGTAGAATATCCCCGTTCCTGCCAGGATGGCTACAGTATTAAAAAGTGGGGACTTTTAAGACAAAATTAGAATCATGAAGCTGGAGAGAGAATTCAGGAGTTAAGAGCACTGGCTGCTTTTCCAGAGAATGCAGATTTGATTCCCAGCATCTCTGTGGTGACTCACAGCCGTCTGTAACTCCAGTCCCAGGGGAGCTGACACCCTTCTTCTGGCCTCTGTGGTCACCAAGCCCACACAGGGTGCACAGACATCCACACAGGCAAAATAACCATTCATATAAAATAAAAAATAATAAAAAGTGACTAGATAAAAGCTATTACAGAGGGAGGAGGGCAGTTACCACAGGCCTCGTCTCCTGACAACAGCGACTCTGACCTCATTCCTCTCCCTCAAGTGTTCATCCTTTAATGCATGGCACCCTCTGCCATATTGTCACAGGCAAGGATGCCCTGGTCAGCTGTCGTGAACTTTTAAGTTTCTATGACAGCAAGAAGTAAATCACTCTTCTTCATAAACCATTGACATGGGAGGTCCTTCCGTATGTGTCACTTTTATTGGTTAATGAATAAAGCTGCTTTGGCCTATGGCAGGGCAGAATATAGCCAGGCTGGAAGAGATATCTAAAGAGAGTAGGAGGAGTCAAAGAGACACCATGTAGCTGCTGGAAGATCACCGCTAAGGGATCTATCTCTGTGAGTTCGAGGCCAACTTGGTCTACATGAGCTAGTTCCAGGACAGGCACCAAAGCGACAGAGAAACCCTGTCTCAAAAAAACAAACAAAACCAAAAAAGATTACCGCTAAGCCACAGCCTCATGGTGATACACAGAAAATAGAAATGGGTTAATTTAAGATGTAAGAGTTAGTTAATAAGAAGCCTGAGCTAATAGGCCTAATAGTGTTGTAATTAATATAGTTTCTGTGTGATTATTCGGGTCTGGGTGGTCAGGAAATGAATGAGCAGTCTCCATTTACAAAATTGACTGCTTGTTTGTTTCCCAGCCACCCAGACCTGAACAATCACACAGAACCTATATTAATTACAATGCTATTTGGCCTATGACTCAGCATATTCTTAGCTAATGCTTACATCTTAAATTAACCCATTTCCATCAGTCTATGTATTATCATGAGGCTGGGGCTAACCAGCAAGGTTTTGGTCGGTGTGTCTTTATCCTTCAGCAGCTACATGGCATCTCTCTGACTTCTCTCTCTCTCTCTCTCTCTCTCTCTCTCTCTCTGTCTCTCTCTCTATCTCTGTTCTGATTTCCCACCTGGCTTTACTCTGGTAAGCCATTGGCTGAAACTACTTTATTTTTTATTATCCAATAAAAGCAACACATATACAGAATGACATCCCACATCAAATCACCCAGTAAACTGTTAGTTTTGTCAACTTGACAAGAGTCTAATTTTAAATTTTATGATTTATTTATTTGTGTGGGACACAGGTTTGCTTTTTGTCTGTGCCATGGCAGGATGACTGTGAAGGGTCAGTTCTCTCCTGACACTTGTGGGATCCAGGGAGTAAACTCAGGCCATTAGGTCTACATTTCTGCACCTCAAACCACAGAACAATCTCACTGGTGCAGCTTTGACACAGTCTAAAAGTCCCTGGGAAAAAGAGTCTCAGTGAGGGCTGTCTAGATTAGATTATCTGGTGGGCATGTCTGTTGGGGGTTATTTTTTGTTTGTTTGTTTTGTTTTGTTTTGTTTTTTGACAGAGTCTTACTATGTTGCCTTGGCTAACTGGGAATTCTCTATGCAGATCCTCTTGCCTCTGATTCCCAAGGCCTGGTATTAAAGATGTGCACCACCATGCCGGTCTAAGGGGGATACCCTGATTAAGTTACCTGAGGTGCTAAGACATGCCAGTTGTGGGTGGTACCATTCCCTAGGCAGGGCATCCTGAACCATGTCAGAGTAGAGACAGTGAGTGGAGGACAAGTATGACTGCATTTATTCAGTCTCTGCTCTTAACTGTAGAGATGTAGCTGCTCCAAGTCCCTGCTGCCTTAACTTTCCCACGATAATGATATACAGGCTGAAATTGTGAGCCAAATAAAACCTATCTCTTTTAAGTTACTTTTGTTGGGGTATTTTATCAGAGCAAGAGGAAATAAAAGTAAAACATGCAGTCACCCCATCTCAGATATTATATTTAGAGCAACTAAAAAGAGACAGACACAACACACACACATACACAATACATAAAAACATATACACACATATACAATACACACAAACATATTATACAAACATACACAATACACACAAACATATCATACACACATACTCAATATATACAAACATAACCTACACAACATACACATATACAATACACACAAACATAACCTACACAACACACAAAATACACATGAACATATACACACATATCATACATACACTCAGACATACACAACACACATACACACAGAGACATATACAATACACACAGACACACATACACTTTTATAGAATTAATTTCCCTCTCTCCAAGAGTATTGCTTTCCTGTTACTCTAGGTACAAAAAATTGCAATGTTTATTAGAAAATAAAGTCTATAAATAAGATTTTTCTGAAATTATT